CACACACACACACACACACACACACACACACACACACACACACACACACACACACACACACATACATGCAAAAACACATAGAGGAATGGGAATAGAGTGTGGTGAGGTAGTAAAAAACTACCTGAAAGTCCGGTACCGAAGGAGTCACGGGCCCACCAAACCAGGCCGGTACCCATAAAAAAATTTCATAGTCAAGGGGGTATTGGTCCATTTGATTTTCCCAAAAAGAAGCCGAAATAAATTTAGTGGGTACCGGTACCCACTAAATTCGGTTTCGCGGTGGCGATTGGCCGACACTTTATCCAAAGGCCAACATGCAACCCCACGACGTACCCCTGCAGAGCTTTTTCGCATTGCCCAATGCACACCGCCAAAGGCCCTCAGCGCCCACCGTCCGCCGCCGCCCTACAGCCACCGTCCCCCAGCGCCCACCGTCCGTCGCCGCTCGGCGCCCAGCGCCCAGCGCCACCGCCGCCTGGTGCCCAACGCCCAGTGGTCGCCGGCCAGCGCCAGCGCCGCCCGCCGCCGCCCAGCGCCCAACGCCCAGCGCTCCCCAGCGCCCGCCGCCGTCCGCCGCTCGCCGGCCAGCGCCAGTACCAGCGCCAACAGCCAGCGCCCGACGGTCGACGCCCGACGTCCAACGCCCAACGCCAACCGCCTAGGTCCGACGAGTCCAAAGGTATGCTCTCTCTCTCTCTCTCTCTCTCTCTCTCTCTCTCTCTCTCTCTCTCTCAAAATATGTTTACAAAAAAGAATGGGAACGACATCGGACCTTTATGAAGGATACTACATAGACTTAGTAAAAGAAAGTTGTTTTATCCCTTTAGGACGCTGGGCCTTTCAAAAAAAACATTGAAACTATACTCTCTCTCTCTCTCTCTCTCTCTCTCMCACACACACACACACACACACACACACACACACACACACACACACACACACACACACAAAATATGTCTACCAAAAAGAATGGGAACGACAACGGACCTTTATGAAGGATACTACACAGACGTAGTAAAAGAAGGTTGTTTTATCCCTTCATGACGCTGGGCCTTTCAAAAGAAACATTGAAACTATGCTCTCTCTCTCTCTCTCTCTCTCTCTCTCTCTCTCTC